AGTTGGTTGTGTTCATCTGGACGTAGCGTTTTGTGGGATAAACGTTTCATCACTCATCCAAGTAACTTCTTCAGTCTCAGCTCACTGCAGGTTTCCCAAATCTTATAAACAGTACATTTGCATAATGACTGAACCTAGCACCACTGAAGGAACAATGGGCTGGGAGGTCAGTTCCTTCATCATGATTATGCAAATTCTCATGACCATTGATCAACAACCATTGATCAAAGCCCACTGATCATTGGCCATGAGTACCATTCACAGCGAGTTGGGGAATGGCTGCAATCACAGTATTGTAAGATGGTGAAAGATGTACTCTTAGGCCCTCGTGAGAATTTGCCTTTAGGGCCTTTTCTTTCTTACTTCAAAACAGGTTCTGTACTTTTAATTATTAAGGCAGGTTAGTTTCAGTGACCTGTTTTTTCTTTTGTTGTATGTGCTGCTTGCTTAAGAGGAAATTCCTTCTTGCATTCTGTCAGTCTGCCCCAGGACAGCTGTGGCTACAACTGTGGCTTGCCTCCACCAGTGTGTGAATGTGAGAGTGAATGAATAGTAGAATTGTAAAGCGCTTTGAGGGCCCAGAAAAGCGCTATATAAATGCAATCCATTATTATTATTATTATTAAGAGCAGTGGGTTGGGTGATCTCAAGTATGTGTAACGTGACTGTGAAATACGAAGATTTGCATGTTGAACAAACATACACTGGCCTACAAATGTTTCATCCTGTGACAAATCTCAATATGCTGTATGAAAATATATACTTATATGGAAATGTCGCATGATTTGAGAATGAAGTTACAAAAATGTCTGGTAACCTTTGTTGCTGACTTTTACCCATCATTTTGAAATAAAATATCATTGTAGAGGATGAAGATGTTTTATCTGGTCCAAAGACTGATATGATGCTTCTGTTGTCTTCACAAATTTAATGTGACAAATAAAAACACGTGCAAAGTTTAGGCCTTAACTTGACTGTGGTGGAACCTTAAAAGATCTGTGAGTCATCGGGACCACGAGACAAAAACTGCATCCTGTAACTCAACCAGGGTTGCTCTCATGGTCACTAATACAGCAAGTCATTTGGTAAAGGTTAGAAAATAGGGGGAAAAAAACCTTTAGTGCTTAGTGGCTGGGACTAGTTTGGGGCACCAACAAAGGGATAGTTTAGTGCAAACTATAATTTCTCCCCATCAGTTTTAACCAATCAGATAAACACAAATTCTCATATAAAACTTTGGGCCAACCATGAACTGTACATGCCTGTGTTATTTTTTTTTAAGTACATCCCTGTGCTCCTCCTCCTCTGTTTATATTTTATAAATGGGAGAGGTAGTTCTTGGAAATAAAGTAAATAACATACATCAGGTTTGTGCAGTTGAGCTCTTGGTGTCATTTGAGTGTTATCTTTGAAAGCACAGACATGGAATGGGAAGAAATATGTGAGTCTATTTTTTTATAACAGTGTTATCCCATTATACAGTGGATATGAATTATTATTATTATTGTAAAGAATTTATTTGACATCTTTTTGTATTTCGTTAACAGGCAAGACAGTCCTTGTGTCTGCAGGTACGCCATGACATTAACCACGGCAAAATTTGGAAATGAAAATCTTTAATATATTTTTTTTGGGTTTCTTTTAGGAGCTGGTGGAACTGTGATTCTGACTCCTGCCATTCTGGCTTCACTGGGATTCACTTCAGCTGGAATAGCAGCAGGCTCCATCGCTGCCCAACTGATGTCATATTTCGCAATCGCTAGTGGAGGTGGAGTTGCAGCAGGAGGTCTCATAGCAATCTTGCAGTCCTGGGGTAAACTGAATAATTTATTATATATTATCTCTCTCTCTCTCTAAAAGCTTTGCTCATGTTGAATAAGCTAATAGTGTCTAACATGATTTCACTGTAGGTGCAGCAGGTATGTCATGGGCTGCCACTGCATTATTTGGCGGTTTTGGTGGAGCAGCGGCTTGGGTGCTCTCAACTGTGTGTAACGTGACTGTGGTTTATGAAGATTAACATGTTAAAAAAACACAAACTGACCTACAAATGTTTTCTCCTGTGACAAATTTTAATCGCCTGAATGAAACGTTATTCTTATGTGTGAATGTCAAACACTGAGATTAAAGCATATTTTGAGATTTAAGTTACAAAAATGGTTCATAAAAATTTCATTCAGATTTTATCCATCATTAAAAAACAAACAAAAAACAACTGATATGGTGCCTTTGTTCTCTTCATGAATTCAATGTGAAAATTAAAAGTCATGCAAAATAAGTGTTTCCTTGCTTTTATTGTAAACAACTTAATGTAAAGCACAGTAACAATATCATATGTTTCTATAGTCCATAAATCTATCACTCTTACAGAGCCACAACTTTGACGGGAGACTATGTAGGACAGGGGTGTCAAACTCCAGTCCTTGAGGGCCGGTGTCCTGAAACTTTTCCATGTGTCCCTGATGCAACACACCTGAATAAAACTGACTGTATGCTCAAGTAAATTTGACTAAAATTGACTTACTGTTTCCCCAACCTCTGAGAGTATCATAGGTGTTGGCTGCACTTAGTGAAAATCTATCAGCATTTTGGAAACTGTTACACAAGACAGCTGAAAGAAAATGCCACAAACAAACAGTCTTCATTTTAACTGTAAACTGAGAGAGAGAAAAACTAAAGAGATGCCAGTTATGTTCAGTTCTCACTGCACCCTTAAACCTGCCTTATCAGTATTCCATCTTTAAAGCTGTCTCGTCCTTGTATTGATGGCTAATAGTACAATTAGTTGTACTAATGCTTTAATACAATATTATAACTGAGATCACCTAAAGTTTAAAACTTTGTATTGTTGTAATAATTAGTTTAAAGTAAGACAATGAGGTAATAAACATTGCAAATGTTTAAATGATTTTTATTGAAGCTAATATAATTTTCTAATAGTGAAAGCACAATAACAAAAAAGTGTTTGCAAAAACTGGTGGGAAAAAACTTCGGCAGAATAACAAGACTTCCAGTTTTGGCATAAAGCAAATATATGGATTCCTCATGATTTTCAGCTGATGAAACCTGCCAACCATCCCACAGCAGCACCAGCAGTAGCTG